TGTTTGGCCGGTACTAAGCTCTTGGCTCAGATTCCGTTCCGTTTTTTTTCCCATCGTCCATTGAAAACATAAATAATATTCCACTCCGCTGGCGGTGTCAGGTTTGCATTGTCTCGCCGCGTTGCTAGGGATTTAGGGCTTTGAGCATGTGTCTGGAAATAGATCACAACTCAATCGATTTTCCGCGACCGGGTAAACAATAAAATAAACGTTATAACAAGTATAATGGAAATGTTAACAACGGCACGTACTAATCAAAGGCGTTTCCGCGATGGGAAGCCCGTGGCCCCGAAAAAAGCCGACAGGCTGTCTATCAGGACAAAAAGGCCGATAAATTGACAGATTCCCCACTTGGGTATGCCAGAAATGTAGTCTGGAAATTGCATAAAGCCATGATTTAATGAATTTCCGGCAATAAAATAATTTAATTTCGGCATAGTCGCCGGGCGACTAGCTGGCTCATCATTAACAACGTCAAGAGGCTTTCAAAAAATCCAAAAAAAAAAAGTGCGCAAATCTCCGCATAATTTAATAACGTCAAAGTTGGGTGCTCCATTGCTTTTTCGGCTAAGGTGGTTGGGCTGCGTGTCGCATAATAAAATGCCAGGCAGGCTGACAGGAAGAAGACGCCTTTTTGGCCAGGATTTTCTTGGCTCCGCTTACATGGCAGCCCGGCTAATCTATGCGATGTGCTGGCTGGCACCTAAGCCAGCAGCTTTGATATTTCAGCATTAGATCCATTAAAGTCAACATTATGAATTTTAATTTCGTGCACTTTATGCGAGAGAGGGTACACTGCGAAAAATAGCAATATTTCTCAAACTCGAAAGAAATAGCAAATAAGTGTATCTTAGAATAGGTAACTAAGATGGAAAATATTTGTTTTTATTAGAAAATATTGAATTTTTTCAGAAATCGTTTTATGAAAAGAAATGAAATTTCAAGTAATTTTAAATTATAAATATTTCTACAAATTTGTAAAATTCAAATTTTTGATAAAGTTAAAGTATATGTGTAATTTTTACAAAAAGGGGTCACTTTTTGTTCTCTGCAGCGGTGTGTCAGCCTCAATTAAGTGCGAAGACGTGCCGAGGTCGGAGCTGACTTTCAGGGCATTCAGGACTGCCGGGGCTGCCTGCACTTGTCATCTGCTGCTATTGCCACTCCCACTGCATTGGCAGTGAAAACAAAGCCACAGATAGAAAATGGGCGGCATCCAGGGGCTGTGGCAGAGGGGATTCGAGGGGATTGTCAAGCAAAGTCTCGGCAATCGCCTTACAAGTGCAATGTCAATTTGTGCACAAAGGGATAATAAGGATTTATGTCAAATGCTGGCGCTGTTTGAGTTTTGCCAATATTTTCACAGATGACTGCACTTGGCTCAAGTGAAAATAAAACGCGGCTTAAGCAGCAGTCACAAAAATAAAAAAACCAAAAAGATTTTGAGAAAACACAGACAAGAGAGGCTTGTGTGTCTTCTCAGACTTCACTGGAAAAATAAGAGCTCATTTCATTTTTCTTTCTTTTACATTTAGACATACAAATTATGCTTTATTTGATCAATCTAAAATACATTTAAGAAAATAATCGAACAGAAACAGTCAATTGCTTTCTTTTATATTAGTGTCATATATTATTAAGAGATAAAACTTTAATTTGGTCAAAATAACAAAGTTTGACATTATCAAACATTTTTTCCATGTGTTGTAAAACCATTTTGGACTGAAACTTCGGCGATTGAACTTTGCACTCAGCCACCTAATGGCTACTTAACTTATTAATTTCCTGTATTAACAACAACCTCTTAACAAGCAGCTCTCATTAAAACTGCATAAATACGCCAGACAAGCTATCAGAAAGCAATTTTGCCAATAGCTAGCCCCGAAAAGCGCCCTCAAAACTCACTTGAAAAGTTGTAAACTTTCCACCGGCAGCAGCAGCAGCAACAACAACAATAGCAGCAGTAAAGGAAACACTAAGGATACAACAACAAAGGGCCGAACAAGCCCAACTTTTTGAAGCAGAGAGCTCAGAAAGTGCGCTTTGATGCTTTTACAAGTTTTTAGTGATTTTTTTGTGTAGCCTGCTTTTGGGGGCTAGCACACATACACCCACACACCCACACACAGACAGTCGAGGGACCACCAAAAGCAATCAGTTTGCGGTACACAATGTGGAAAGGGGGTCTGGGATTCCCCTGCCTTGATAGAAATCATGCTGAGTTGTGAAACGTAAAATTGAATTTACTCTGCCGCATTCCCACATTACCCCACTCACACTGAGATTTTCCATGTGGCCGACAGTGTTTCACGCTTTTCACCACCAATTGTGAGCGGGACAAAAGTCTGCTGACTGCGTCGGCCCGTTCCAGTCATAAATCACTGAGCATTTGCCATATGCAAGAGGCTCGCTTTTGCTATCACTAAGTCCGGCATTAAACTCGGCTTTCGCTAACCAAAGACATAACTTATACAGCTGCGTTCAATACAATAATAACAGTTTGCCTATAGAGAATGTCAAAAACAAACAAACATATGCGATTTGAAACCAAAGGATACAATATATTTAAATATCTATAAAGTTTATGTTGTTAATGCCAAAATAAATGTTTTTCTTGACACTTTTAATAACTTTAGAAACCCGATTACATTTTAACAGGGTTATATCATTGTCTCAAATAATAAAACCATAATGTTTTCAATATTGTTCCATTCTAAATATTATATATTTTTTACAAATTCACCACTAATATTTTGAATACTACTGTCTATTTTCTTTCCGTCTGATAACCCTCATCAAATGAACAACATTTGCCTGCTAAGTAGCATTTGCTGGTTTTGCAGCCTAAGTTAATGATTTAGTTTGTGCAATTGTGTATCTCAACCCAAAACTCTGGATGTAATCAGCTTAAAGTAGCCAAATTAAATTGAATTCAATTGAATCGAGACGAACTGAGTTGAGTAAGTTGTCGGCTGTCTATTGTTGTCTGTTCGGTTGGATTGTTCATGTAACTGTTGCGGTATTGGCCATGTTTGCAGCCATTCGTGTTTATTTAAATGTAATTAATCTCTGCACAGCTCAGACTTTGAACTGGCCGCAGAGATCCAGCTTTAGCTTCGCATTCGGATTCAGGCTGGAGCTTTGGCAATTAGTTGCCGTCTAAGTGGGCGGTGTCGAAAGTGGGCTCCTGGAAAATCTCATTTCCCTCGGCCCAGCAGGATAATCCGTACTTGGCTCTACAAGCTATTTAAGTTTAGTTATGGACTCCCATCTTTATCGCCAGAGGAAATTGGGGCAGGTTCATAAATAATATAGATAAGTGAATAATCAGCTCTGTCCATCAGCAAGATGTTGAAAAACATCCATCAATAATTCAGTATTTTTAATTATCCTTGCCACTTCTATTAATTATAACTGATCTCTTTTAAATACCAAAGAGAAGGGAAAACAGAATATATTTTGCTCATTCTATTCTTTTATTGGGTTTTAAAAGTAACACAAACATGAAAACTTAAAGTATTATCGAGTTTCAGTTAAATGTATTAAAATTATTTCATATTATTTATGTTTCATACTAAGAATGGTTACTGATATTCCTATTAAGGGTTTTATTCTCCGAGATTATAGACTATATAAGCTGCGCTTTTGGCTTTTAAAGCCAACGCAATCTAAGCGGACCCCAGCGTAATTAATCCAATTTCGTTGTGCGATATTTCACACTTAAAAATCAAACTCTGGCCATTTGTTACACCCACTCCCACGCACCCGAGCACCCGAAAGTGATCCAGGAATCCAAAGCCAAACCCAAACCGATGCTGAAAACGAGCCAACGATACACATGAGACGGCACCGCTTGAAGAGGAGTGAAGTAGAGTAAATGGAGATGAGTCGGGGATATGCGGGTGTTCGGTTAGTACGTGAGCCCCGCCAAAAGTTGCGCAAATAAATGGCAGTGAAATTTTATAGCACACTTGATAATTTCAGCAATAATTCAACGCGGCTAATCACCGCATAAATAATCTTAAGGACAGCTCAGCTTAGCTCCACTCACCATCGCAACTACAGCGGGCCAGTGCGCATATATACGAGAATACATCCAACCGATTTATATATATTTATTTGTGTACTGCGAGCAGTATGCACAGTGCAAGAGGTGGTAAAAACTAACTTGGGGAGACCGACAGTCGGAGACAAAAACAGGAATTGGAATAGGACATATATATACATATATATATATAGATGAACGCGATGGCCAAGCGGCGGAACAGAAGAGCAAACACGAGACAGGGACCAGCAGCATCCAAAACTCATGAAATCGAGAACTCGGTCGAATGGAACGTGAGCGAAATTTTTGCTAACGAATGTTGACTTTGCCAAAGTACTAAAATCAAATAAAGCCAACAGCTACAGCCAAAACAAAAACAGCAAATCAAACAAAATCAACAATCACTTGGTAAAAGTTAGCCCAAGTTGATGAAGACAAGCGCGAGCTATACCAAAACGGAGACCAAGTTTGGGACAAACTATTTGGTCATAATATAAAAATTAATATGGCACCGCCAACTTGTGGATCAGTCAGTATTTAAGCCAGGCAAACAAAGGCCGTTAAGCCATAAAATTAACTCTCAGCTGGCAAAGTCACAGTTGCAGAGTCCCATCTCAAGATCCTGTTTTCGGTGCCGTCTGACTGTCAGTCTGTCAGTGGAAAAACAACAAGGACCACAAAAATGTAGGTTATACACACTCACACACACACAAATACAATGGAAGCAGATACATTGCGTATACGCCGCATGTGCCACGCGAATAGCGGAAAGGAAATAAAAGGCAGGAAAACAACCAAATAGGAAATTTAATGCGAACGCTGCGTGAACCGAAAGTTTAAAGCCAACCGAAATGGCAGTGAGAAAGGCAATAATTTGTATAACTTTATGGGGGCGCAGAATCCAGGATCTCAGGCAGCCATACCCCGAATAAATAAACTTGCTTGAATAATTTACCAGCAAATTTGAGGACTCCAACTCCAAGTGAAATGGTGGCACTTTCTTTTATATTTAAAGTTTAACTGTTTAAACACTTTTCCTTCTGACTGTTTGCACACTTTTTCTTTAGACTGTTTGCAGACTTTTTATTTTGGTAAGTAATACACTATTTATTCCTTTCGGTTATTTCACTTTCATATTCCTTCGTTTTTTGTATAATTTATTTTATGACTTTCTGTTTTCTATTTTCCGCACCAAACAATTCGCTGGCTCGTGGAGCAAGGCGATGGCTTCCACTTTCCACTTTCACTGCCAAACCGACCGTTAAATTCAACGTTCGCCACGCATCTGACTGATTTGCTCGCCTGCCATCAGATATGCACGGAGGCTGTGTACACGCACCCAGAAATCGGAATCGGAATGGTTCGTCGCCCGAACGGAGTGCTCGCCTCGATTCGTGCTGCTTCGTGGTCTCCGGCTCTCGTTTCCGGACGGAGTGTATAACACTGGGCCACGAATCTGGCTCGCCGGCTAAGAGAGAAAGGACCTTCAATTCGCCGTCTATGGCATCAAGTCATTCCCGGTTATCTATGGTCAGGGCTAAGAGAACCTGTATCCAAAAAGAGCAGGTCTAAATCAGCTGAGCGTAGAACAGTTCTCATAGTGTAAGGCAGGTCTTTCCTCCCACGCTTGTTATTGTACGGATAAAAATGGGAACAGGTTTTTAAATTTATCAGCTGTTTGGGTTGGACTGCGCAGAAGCAGGTAATCTATGAAAATAGTATTTAATAGTGGTAACAGTATATGAGGAAACTTATATCTATACGGCTATTAGGGATAAGAATTAAAATGTGTGCCTGAGATAATAAAAAATCTACTAAAAAATCTAGTTAAAAGAAAACTTTGGCAAGCCAAAGGTTATATATGGACTTTAGAAGTTCCATTTTGGCCCAACTTTCTACAAAGCATCTATTACTTTAAAAAACTAACGTGAAAATGGGTCGAAAAATTGATCAACGTGAAAATAACAAATTTGAATGCAGATTTTTAGAAAATCAAACCAAAAATCTTAAGAAGTATGCCAATTTGAAATCGGTTTTGGTAATGTTATGGACTCTAGTAGTCCAATTTTTGGTCATCTTTATAAAAGTCATTGGAAACTTGGAAATAACAAACATGAAAAATTGTAATGCAGATTTTTGTATTTTTACCGACATGAATAAGCCTTTTTAAAGATTTAAATCTATTAGACAAAAAAATGAAAAAGAAAATGGTTTGGATAAAAAAGCCAATGAGCACCTGCTCCTGTCCTGCCAAAATTAATAATGATTGTAAGCCATCAAATTGTTGAATCGTTATTAAAATAGTTTGTGTGATAATATACCATAATAATAATAACAGTTTTTATACCCTTGCAGAGGGTATTATAATTTTGGTCAAAAGTGTGCAACGCAGTGAAGGAGACATCTCCGACCCTATAAAGTATATATATTCTTGAGCAGGATCACCTCCTGAGTTGATATAGCCATGTCCGTCTGTCCGTCTGTCCGTCTGTCCGTCCGTCCGTCTGTCCGTCTGTCCGTCTGTCCGTCTGTCCGTCTGTCTGTCCGTCTGTCTGTTTCTACGCGAACTAGTCTCTCAGTTTTAAAGATATCGAATTGAAACTTTGCACACACCCTTCTTTCCTTTGCACGCAGTATATAAGTCGGAACGGCCGGGATCGGCCGACTATATCCTATAGCTGCCATATAACTGATTGATCGGAAATGCCATAACTCTGCTGTTTGTTAAGTTAGGAAGTTGGGACTCTCTATGGGTATTATATTTGGCCAATCAATCCGACGTACCAAATTTCATAAGGATCGGCCGACTATATCCTATAGCTGTCATATAACTGATTGATCGGAAATGCCATAACTCTGCTGTTTGTTAAGTTAGGAAGTTGGGACTCTCTATGGGTATTATATTTGGCCAATCAATCCGACGTACCAAATTTCATAAGGATCGGCCGACTATATCCTATAGCTGTCATATAACTGATTGATCGGAAATGCCATAACTTTAGTGTTTGTTAAGTTAGGAAGTTGGGATTTTCTATGGGTTTTATTTTTGCCAATCAATCCGACATATCAAATTTCATAAGGATCGGCCGACTATATTCTATAGCTGCCATATAACTGATTGATCGGAAATGCCATAACTTTAGTGTTTGTTAAGTTAGGAAGTTGGGATTTTCTATGGGTTTTATTTTTGCCCAATCAATCCGACATATCAAATTTCATAAGGATCGGCCGACTATATTCTATAGCTGCCATATACATAACTGAACGATTGGAAATGCCGTAACTTTGGTGTTTTTAAAGTTAGGAAGTTGGGATTTTTTATGAGAATTAAGAACGCATCATATGAATAATTTTGGAGAATATAATTTGCAGAATATTCTGCAAGGGTATTTCAACTTCGGCTCCGCCCGAAGTTAGCTTTCCTTTCTTGTTAATTCAGGTTTTGTAATTTGAGTTAGGAGTTTGTTAATTTACATCCGGATAATATCAAACATTAAAGGGTGAATGAAAAGTTTGTGGGTTGCTCAAATACTCAATATTCGTGATGGCGCCCCTCCCCTTAATTGATGCACTCATAAAACAGTTCTATTTGAACCGGCACCCGTCCCCGCCCACCTTTCCCCAATAATCAGTTCGCCATTCTCGGGGCACTCAAATAAAAATGAGTGTGCGAAAGACGTAAAGCAAACAGCCAAGTCACAGATCAATATAATGAACCGAAAAGTAAGCCAGAAGCCGCAACAAATTGCCAGTGAGTCGGTGTGCTGGCCAACGCTGCAGTGGCTCAATGTGGATTTTGATTTAAGTTTTAGCACTGCCGCGCACTTATCGAGCAATTGAGGAGCAGTCTTTGGTGGGCAAAGGATATATATACGGGCCATATGCGGCATTCCAATGAGAGCCGAAAGTTATTTGCAATATACGAATCGATACGATACGGCCACCCATAGATGATGTATGTATGGCGTGCGGGTATCATCCCAAAGTGCACATCATGATTTTATTAAATGGACTCTGATGTATTTATTGTCCAGCGCCGACGTGACTTGTGAATTGATTTCATTAAACTGAAAAAGTTAACAAAGCAGCGCTCTGCCCTGGCAACATTTTTTGGACAAAGTTACCCAGATAGCCGGATAGCAGCAGTAGCAGTCCGGCCATATATCGCCATATAGATAAATATTTTTTTATAGCAATATGGGCGAGTGTGTGTTGGCTTAAGGACATCTATCGTTAGTGGCCAGGAGTGGAGACGAAGGATGAGTGAGCCTCAATGACCAATGGCAACAGCGGCGCGCATCGAGCGTGGAATATCAATGTGGTCGAGTGGTCCAGTGGTCGACTGCCCAGGACCTGAACCAAAGCCAGGACCATCCAAATCCAACCAACTGGCTGACTGACTGACTGACCGAATGTCATTTTGGTCCTGGCCATCCTGGACGGTCCTTTGGCCGAACTGCTTTATGTTGACCGCTGTTCGCCACAAATTGCCAAATTGTGTGAGTGTGCGGCTTTGGCCGGTTTCATTTTGTACAAATAATGATGATAATGTTGATGCGGCTGTTGACTTAACGCACATAACGGTGATTAGCCACATAGTCGGAAGAAGCAATCGCATTCTCAAAATGATCTGAGGCTTAATTGCCGGCACACGGTAAGAAAACCAACAAAACTAGCACCATAGTTGACAGCTTAAGTTCGCTTTATTATCTAATATCTATCTTTAATTGTCTGATATAACAAGTTTAAGTTTAAATGTTTATTCCTAGTGTTTATTTGATTTATTTTTTAACAGCTCAAACCGTGATAAATATATAGTTGCGGGTTTTATGGATTAATATAAAAGCGTACTAAAACTCAATTATTTATCTGCGATAATTGATTTTCCACCACATTTCTTGTTTATTTTTTCTCAGTGCAGGCCAGCAATTTATCCAGGCAACCAAATATGCAAGGCAATCGGAAAAGTAAGGGCAAGGTATGGGCCGCATTTAAGGGCTTTGTACTTGGGATGTCCTTGGCATGCGATTGCACTCAAACAATTTCTATTAAATGCGCTTTTAATTGCTGCCGAGAGTCTTGAAAGGCATTTCACTCCGGCCAATGCGGCGTATGCGCGATGCTCGAATAAAAGCTAATTTCAGCATTAAGCAAATGTCGCCTCTCGCCCTTCTAAGCACTGCGAATTAAACGTGAATGGCTGAGTCAAATGGGAAATGAAAAATTGCCAAGCAGAATGGAGAAACCCAGTGTTTACAATGGACGGACGCCGCCACGCCCACCGCTCGAACTCCCACTTTTCCATCCATCCTCCTGCTTTGCTGTTGTTGCATTGTAAGTTGTCCTGTTTTATAAATGTTGGCGGCAAGAACCACTTACATGAGCCATTTGCATCATATTTCTGTTGTCATTTGTTGACATTTTACTTGCCTTGTCCCAGCATGTGTATGTAGACACTTAATGTGCAGTCATTATTTTTCAAGAAACAAGCTCAGTAGCAAGCCAGTGGGAAAAACAACAACGTAACAACAAGAACGTGGGAGCATAGTGCAAAGGCAAAAGGCAGCAAAGCAATAAAAAACCAAATGCAAAAACGTTTCACATATAAAGAGGAAAACAGCACTGATAAATTTATTTTCTTTTCAAAATTTATGTATGTTAAAAATTAAATGGTTCTCAAACGTTGGCTTCTTTATGGATCATTGAAAAGAAACATTACATCAAATTTGTAAAAATGTATTATTTTAAAATATAATAGATTTTTAAGATATTATAATTTAAAACTATTTGAAGAGTTTTAGTATACTATGATACCATTTAATACTGAGATTTAATTTGTGTTATCGTTTGCATTTGTTCAAGAATTTTCCCCCAGTGAATTAAATAAAAATATGAAGACACCACCCACAACCATTTTGCAGAGCGGGCAGCTTGGTACCCTTCATTAAAGAGAAAGAGAGAGAGGGTCGAGAATGGGGGACAGAGACGGCGACATCGAAGGAAAATGAGGCAGCGGAAGGGTTCTTCGTTGTTTGCCTTTTGGCCAGGGCCCAGAACTTGGCTAATTGCCTCGGCCCCGACTATCGTTTTTCACCAATCAAGCGAGTGAGTATTAATTAATTATCTTACCATATGCCATGCTGCATTGAAGGCGGAATTTTTGCTGATTTTTATTTAACTTTGCACGCTAATTAGCGTCCATTCTGATGGCATCCTTTTTTGGTGTTTTCGCTTGGCGAGAATATGGCCAGGATCTGTCTGTCATGGCCTG